AACGAATAAAACAGATTCACCGACGTAGCAACTGCCATGCTGTCTAGTGAAGCAGTGTCTACCTCGAGAATATAAAACCAGAATTTAAAGTGAAGTAACAAAAATCCTTTTAAAGCGGGCACTTTGTGCGATCCGCTTTCGCCACCGTTCGTCGTTGGTGACGCCAGTGGTACTGCTAAACTCGGCAGCGCATGAGGCGGATAGGTGGCGACTCAGATTAGGCATGGCACTTGTGTTCCCAAATGACCGTGGAAGCAGCTGTTAAAGTTAAGCGGCATGTACCGATGAGGTAGCCTTACTGTCCTGCCTATTGAAGGACCGCTCATTTTCATCCTCATAATCAGCCAAATATATTTGTTTTTGTCATCTTCCGAATATATCAGTCGTACAACTTGAAACAAAAAGCAAACGATAACAATTTGGTTTTGAACGATTTGTTATTTCTGATTACGACCTGCAGAAACAATCATTTTTATGGCGTTGTAGAAGAGGACTTCACGCTAACGCTGACACTTTATCTCATATATACGTACTCTTGTGCATCGGGCATGTTTCGGCGTTCAAACATTGACAGCGATGCGATACGCACCAAGCAACGAGTGCTTATTGATCATCTGGGCAGCGGTCGCGAGAAAGTGAGGAACTGCGATAGGATTCACGCCAATGCGTGTTGATAATGCAGATTGCCGAAGTAACGCATGGTTGCTTTCAGATGCGCATAATTCTCATTGCTAGAACTGGAGAATGAAGCAGTGCAAGAAGATTTGCGTGCAAGAAGACCGACTCTGAAGTTTATTTTTTAAGATAAATAGGGTCTTAGTTTGTTTTTATTTGCGCCCGTATTTCAGCTGACGTCTTGAAGGTTAAGAGTAGCCCAAAAGTGTTTCAGGATGTCTTAAGTTCGAAGCATTCAGCCGTGTTCCCAAGTTTACAAGACGTCCTCAGATTCCTTTTCCGAGCTAGTTTTTCAAAGGGGTTGACCTGTTGGGTGTTTCGTCTTAGTCTCAATTAGCAGGATATGTCTATATGGTTGTATTTCAACCCGCCTTGCTCGCAAAAAATGTTAGCATTTGTGCACATGCATTCAGATTGCTGAGGTGGTGGTCACTGGAACACCTACGTGCGCATAATACACCCGAATAAGGCATTTCTCTGGTCTGACATACCCCATGCTTCTCGAAACAGCAAAGTTTACACACGTCTAACATCAATCGTGTTACATTCCTTAAGATTCTCAAGGTTGGCCGCCCAGAGAATCCCTCTTCGTAGGAGCACACAAGGGGTTTACTGTTGTCCGGGTTTCCTTTCCCATTTGACGTTTCGGCACTTTCTCTAGGCTGGCTGTGCCAGGACGATGAAGAAATATATAAGATACCTTATGGTTATTATGTATATGTCTAAGGCAAGTATATCGTACACTGGCAGTATACAAGGAGCATCTTTAAAAATTAGAACATCTTTGCACTTGTTTCATGCTTTAACGAAAAGTGGCACTGGGGATCTTTTGTTACTCTTCCGTGTTCTCTTCTCTTCCTTCTGTCTGTTTATTTTTTTCATTATGGAGTGCTTTTCTGTTTCCTCAAGTTCGATATATTTTTTTACCTCCTGGTGGGCTCCTGCCTACAACAAAGAAGCTAGGCATTACAATATTTCAGAAAATAAAGTTATGCCACGATAGTTTTTTTCGACAATTTCTGGGAAAAGGACACGCTTACGAAACCAGAAAAACTAGGTATGTTAAAGGTTTTACACGAACTAACTATGGTATGCAAAAACAATCTTACGTTATAGTAGACTTTTTAAATCATCATCCTACCGTGATAAACTTGGTACAAGAAACGATGCACATGAAATGCTTCAAAAGAAAGTTAACTGCATATCTCCTATCAATACAAGAATAATTCTGTTTTCTTTTTTTCTATTTTTTTCTTTTTTTCTCTTTTTTTTACCTTGCTGCAGTTTATACTGTATATGTATATAGAAAATCTTTCTGTTTCATATGTATATAGAACAATGTATATATGTAGAAAATCTTGTATATGTATGGCCAAAATATGTATACTATATGTAACCTTGTGTATTTTGCTTAGATAACTGCCACTGTTGTTTGAGTTGTGTGTGTCTAAAAAGGGGTGTGACACCCAGTCAGGCATTCGTGCCTTTTTGTCACTCCTCCTAGACAGGGCAAATGTACATATTACTTGTCTTTGTCTGAAATAAATACGAAATAAATACGAAACACTTGTTTCAAAACACGCTTTTCATGCTGGGAAGTCTGGTCAACATAGCCAACTTTTTGTTCAGGTGGAATCTCTGCAAAACGTAGAAAATCGTGGCATAATTGAAGGCTGTGACACTAACTGCTAATGAATCACTTCCGAACTCCTTGATTCTAACACGCATTACTGTCTCAATTTATCCCAGACGGTAACTGCCAAAGAGAGCACGCGAGTATTTTTCATATTATTTGGAGCTGCCCTAAAATGAAGAAACAGAATAATCCTTCGACTACGCATATCACCATAGCTTTCCACAATGGGAGGCAACGCTGCTCAGCTCCCAACAAGAAACACAAGAGTAGATAACAGAGCGGGCAGAGGCGATCACTAGGGCCAAAAGTACCGGCTCAACGACAGAGACATCTTGTCGCTGAACATGAACTTTACCAGATCATATTGTTTCTTCTCCCACTCTAGCACATAAATTGTCACCCTATCTTTGCCGATCAACTGAATAGACATGCTAGGCTTGTTGAAACACACATCATTACGTCTTCCACATCACAAGGAGTAGCAGTAGAGTTGGACCGTTAACCAAGATCCTTCGCAATCTTTCCTTTCCCACACCAATGATGCACCTACTGAGATCATCTTAGTTTACTACTCCAAGTATTAAAGTTACAAGGTGGACTACGTGTTTACCGATGTCAACATGAAGCAGACCGCCAACGTTTACTTCTATCGCAGTAGCAGCACGTTTAAGTCAAGCACTTTTATTCATCAGTGGTTCATTACAAATATTCGTTTAACTGGAATGATTCTTGGCGCATGTCTACAGTGAAAAAAGTAGACAGCCGTGTGAATGAAGGAGGAGATAGGAATGATCAATTTTTACAAAACAGCAAAATGACGTTTCTGATGGGCTAGCTCTTATACCAAGGCACTAGTGGCACGAGTAGCTAGCTTGACCTTGTCCAAGGTTGCCCGCTTGCTTCCCAGGTCTCGCCGAATGAAACTCACCTGAAGCAACTTTTCAAATTTGTGGCGTGCGATGACGTGTGTGTTGCCCTCAGCTGGTCTGTGTCTAAAAGCCGAACTGATGTGAAATAGGTGCCCAAGATTGGTTGTCATAAGTTATCTGGCAAGTTAAATTTCTAAAAACATCAACGCACCAATAGCAAATAAAATTTACCACATATATTCATCGATGGTTCCGAATTGAGACTTTTTGTACTCAAGTCAGTGATTACTACATTTCGCTAGTAAAGATGTAGACAGCGGTCTTAATATGCCGTTGCCGACGAGTGCTCTTCGTGAAGATTGGGATTAGTTGAATGTTCAAAAACACGGGTGCGGCACTGACGAACAATATTCGACACTCGTGTTCATCTATCGTTATGAACAAACACATTTATTGCATGCAAATCATTGATTTTTTTATTTGGCCAGTGGTATGATACACGGTCATGTAATAGTGGTTGCACCCACGTGTCCTTATCAGGATTTATGGGTTTAGTTGAAAGTCCAAATCTCTCGGCGCACTAAGAGCGCGTAAAAATTCAGCGATAATGCACAACCATGACTCATCATTAAAACTTGTTTTGTACGTGAATAATTGCTCGCACATGTCATTAGTGAATGCATACGCGGCAATGGAAGTGTGAACGTGTCTACGTGTGGCTGTAATCAGGTATGATCATGAGTTTTTAAAAACATTGCCGCTTATAGATACAACGCCTGTATGAGTGACCTTGTTCTTTTTTTGGCAGGCTCACGTTTCCTTGCCTCTATGCGTCCGTTGAAGCCATCGAAGAGCTGATGCCTTCCATGAATTGGCACACAACTTGCATTTAGAGCCCCTCTCACGCATACGCATATTTTCATGGGAACAAAGCTTCCGTAGTCATGCAAAGTAATTAGAGCAGGTATCGTGCTCTAGAAATTCTCGCCTGTGAAGTGCCACGAGAGTAGACTTTTTGGCAAAACATTTACCACAGCTGTTGCAATTGTAGGACTTCTATTATGCGCGCATTTGGCGATGTGCCACAAGATCAAGCTTTTAGTTCAAGTAATCTATCTGACATGTGGCAATGACAGGGCTTCTCGCCGGTATGCATGTAGTGAAGTAATGCGATACTGTCCTTCCGTAGAAATTGTTTAGCCAATACGTTGCAATTTTCAGGCTTCTGACGCTTCTGCGTGCGTACGCGCTGACGAAGATATTCCGCCGGTGTGAATGATTTAGCGCATGTAGCACACTTTAGGGCTTCTCGCCTGTGTGCACGCACAGATGTTCTGTGAGGTCGTGCATTCGTGCAAATGATTCTTCGCATGGCCCGCAAGGATTTGGCTTCTCCCCTGTATGTACGCGCAGATGTCTCGTGAGGTCACATTTTTGTGCAAATGATTTTTCGCAAAAGCCACAATTATATGGCTTATCGCCTGTATGTACGCGGATATGTAATACGAGGCTATCCTTTCGCGCAAATGATTTATCGCAAGATCCGCACTGATATGGCTTATCGCCTGTATGCATGCGGAGATGTCTTATGAGGTCGCGCTTTTGTGCAAACGATTTTTCACACATGTCGCAACGATGGGGCCGCTCACCTGTATGTGTGAGCATTAGATCTGTGAGGTTGCACTTTCTTGAGAATGACTTCTGACATACGAAGCAATGATGGGGCTTCTCGCCCGTATGCGTGCGCCAATGTCTCTTGAGTGTGCTCTTTTTTTGTAATGATTTGTCACACACTTGACACTTGTGGCGTCGTTCCCCCGGTGGCTTCTGGCGGCGGTTGACGTCGCCGTAGACAACGCTCAGATCCTCACACTTTCCCGTCTGTGAAAAGCCAGTAGCGTTCCTACGAGATGAGACAACGCATCTAATATGACACATACACTATTTCGAGGAAGGAAAGCAGTCTATTATTGTCCATACAACATCATAACTTTCATGTGAGGCCTACTCGCTTAAGCGTACTCTTTGGCAATATGTATTTTTGTTTAGCCTTCATTAGCATTGTTCAGCAACAACTCAAGACAGGTGAATAAGGTACACACACAATGTTCTGAGAATAAGTGCACACTGTTTTTTTTCAACTTTATAAAATATTCTCGACGTAGTTATTCAACAATCAATGCCTACTCTTTCACTGCTACTCAATGCAACAAGACCGTATGCAAGTCACTTGAACAAAGCCTCTAATCGAACTTTCGTGCATCTAAAACGGAGAAATGATTGAATATCAAGTCACGAGACTGCTTTTTTTTTACTGAAAATGACTTCCAACCTACAATCCTATCAGTGACTGTTTATGGTACCTATTTTTCTTAGGCGATCCGACTTCCCAGCTGAGCGCATCGGCATACGTTCTTCTGCAGGCTTTGCGAAATATTACATTTGTGCTGATGTTTATTCGAACAGAGAAGTCGCAATGAGGTCGCGACGCAAAATGGCCGTACGGCAAGTCTGGCAAAGGCGGCACAGGTTCTCGCGCAATCAGAGCGCGGGTTTTTTTTGTTTTCTTCCAAAGGCGCATACGCGTTGGTGCGTATGCTCGAGTACAATATCCCCGGGGTGAAGAGTAGCCATCCTGGCGACTCAGGGAGTAGGCACAATGAGGGGGTCGTAGTAGGGTTTGAGACGGTCGACGTGCACGGTCTCACGTTCTCGACGCCACAAATCTGGTGATTGTGTTAATGGCTAGATGACGTAATTCACCGGGGAGGTCGCGTCAATGACACGGTAGGGACCATGGTATCGGGCCAGAAGTATAGAAGAAAGGCCAGGATCGTGCAGGGGCACCCAAATTCACACAAGAGAGCCAGCACGAAATGCAGGAGCTATGTAATGAATGTCGCCATGTCGGGTCTTTAGTAGACCTTGAGCCTCACTTGTCAGAGACCGAGCCAACTGACGGCAGTCTTCAGCGTATCTGGCGACTTCCGAAAGCGGGGAGCACTCAGATGTATCAGGGCGGTATGGTAGTATAGTGTCAAGTGGGTGGGAAGTTTCGCGGCCGTACAACAAAAAGAACGGGGAAAAACCTATTGTCGCTTGCGTCGCGATGTTATAAGCGAAGGCAACAAAAGGTAACACAGCGTCCCAGTTAGCGTGGTCGGAGAAGGTGTACATCCTCAGCATGTCGCCAAGTGTGCGGTTGATCCATTCAGTGAGACCATTCGTCTGTGGATAGTATGCGGGTGATTTCCGGTGGCTGAGGTTGCATTTAGCGATGATAGCTTGGATGACCTCCGACAGGAATGCTCGACACCTTTCGCTGAATGATTTCCGTGGAGCACCATGGCGTAGAATCAAGCTGCGGAGAATGAAGAGTGCAACTTCGTGGGCGGTCGCTGCCGATAGAGCAGCAGTCTCAGCGTAGCGTGTCAGATAATTGACGCCGCCATTAATCCAGCGGTTTCCAGAGCCACTAAATGGGAGGGGGCTATAGAGGTTGATACCCACGTGGTCGAATGGGCCAGCCGGGCACTGGCTGTAACATGCAAGTTAGGTGCCGCGGAGGTGTCTTGTTTTGTTGGCAAGTGGTGCAAGCCTTGACGTATTTCTGCACAAAGCGATACATTCCTCGCCGAAATATCGTTGGCGCAGCCTTTCGTAGGTTTTCAGGACCAAAGCGTGAGCACTTTGGGGATCTGTATGGAAATTCATGCAGATGTCAGAGCGCATATGAGTTGGAACAGCAAGGAGCCACTTCCGAACACCAGGTATGTAGTTGCGGCGGTACAGAATGTTGTCTCGCATGGAAAAGTGGGCTGCCTGCCGGCGTAGGGATCTCGTGGAAGGGATGCCAGACGGATCGGTAAGGTAGTCGAGTAACAAGGCAAGGTATGGGTTTTACGCTGCTCCAAAAGCATGTCAGTGGTGTCGAGTGGTGAGAAGGTGGTAAAAAGGGGTGACAGAGAAGCCACATCTGGTGTTAATGGCGATCGCGAAAGCGCATTGGCATCCGCAGGCTTGCGACCGGAACGATATACGGCGTGGATGTCGTATTCCTGCAATCGAAGTGCCCAACGCCCCAGTTATCCGGACGGGTCTTTCAAGGTGGACAGCCAACATAGAGTGTGGTGGTCTGTGACCACGTTGAAAGGATGGCCGTAAAGGTACGGGCGAAACTTCGTCAGCGCCCAGACTATGACCAAACACTCCTTCTCTGTCACAGAGTAATTCAATTCAGCCTTCTTGGGAGCGTGAATTGCTTAGGCGACTACGTATTCAGCTTGGGTGCCTTTCCGTTGTGCTAAAACTGCACCAAGACCGACGCAACTTGCATCGGTGGGAATTTTTGTGGCAGCAGTGTGGTCGTAGTGACGAATAATAGGTGGTAAGGTCAGCAGGTGGCGCAACTGGTGAAATGCGTCGTCACATGCAGGGGTCCATGCCGATAAACCTTTGCTGTTGGAAAGCAGAGTTGTCAGAGGTGCGATGATGGACGTGAAGTTGCGCACGAAGCGACGAAAGTAGGAGCAGAGACCAACGAAACTTTTTAGGGCTTTGAGTGATGTGGGCATTGGGAAGTCAGCGACAGCTCGAAGCTTATCGGTATCCGGAACAACACCTCTCTTGTGATGACATGTCCGAAGATGGTTAGTTTTTGTGCTGCGAAGAGGAACATCTTGGTGTTAAGTTGTAGGCCTGCAGAAGTTAGACACGTCAGAATCTCGTGTAGACGAACAAGATGTGCCGGGAAATCAGCTGAAAAGACTACGATGTCGTCCAGGTAACAAGAGCGAATTTTCCACTTGTGGGCACGCAAGATGGTATCGATCATGTGCTCAAATGTCGCAGGCACGTTGCAGAGCCCAAATGGCATGACTTTGAACTCATATAGGCCATCCGGCGTTACAAATGCTGTTTTAGGGCGATCACATCCAGCCACTACCACCTGCCAATACCCAAAACGCAGATCCAAGGATGTAAATACTCGGTGCCTTGTAAACAGTCAAGAGCATCGTCTATTCGTTGTATTAAGTAGACATCTTTCTTCGTAATCTTGTTTAAGTGGCGATAGTCAACGCAAAATCGAACGGTGCCATCTTTTTTTCTTTACCAGAACCACAGGTGATGACGAAGCGCTTTGAGAAGGCTGTATGACTCCACGTTTAAGCACGTCATCTACTTGCTCCGAAATGACGCGGCGCTCTTCGGCGGAAACGCCGTAAGGACACTGTCACAGAGGCGAATGTGAGCCAGTGTCAATAGTAGGGAGTTTTAGTGCTGGGTACGCATTGTCTTGGAGCGTTGCGGGTTTGGGAGCGCGCGGCGTTGCGTGCCCAACCCATACCCAACCGGAATGCCTTTTAGTTGGCGCCACGGTGGCACGCACGCAAACGCAAGCCGCACGAAGTTCACGCACACTCGCAGAGCCATAGCGTCTTGTCGCGTAAGTAATATTTAAGTCTTTTTATGATTTAGAATGTTAAATTAAACATGCACAGTGATCAGGGCACTTTTTATTGTGTACAGTAGTCTGGTATACACAAAAAAGTAAAAAATACAAGGTTACTGTAACGACAGTGTCGACATCTTCTGACACTTCGTGCAACCGCAGTCATGAACATGTTAGCTTACGCGTAATGTTTTTGAGGTGAAAATGAATAAAAAGGTTACCGATTTGTAATATTGTCGCTGCGCAGTTTTTGCACCAGATGTACAATGCACAATGTTTCTGTAATAACAAAGTTGTGGTTGTCTGTTTCACTAAGACCGCGCTAGATGGCGCCACCTAATCAGCTGGTCGGGGGCTGTCATATGTCTTTTAGTTTCTATGTTCCAGGCCATTCTATCTTTGGAAATCTGGCTGAAACCGATTATTCGCTATAAGTGCTCGCACTTTGGCTTATTTTAACTCGACGGCTAGAGTATCCGCAGTGCGGATACCGAGAGTTCTTGCGAAGGTGGACCGCGCGGACGCATGGCCCCATCGCCTCAGCAATCTTGCGACGCCTCTGTTTGGGGTTTCGCGCATGCGCAATACCGCCGCCGCAACGTCCTGCGTACGCAAGCCGCTTGGGTACCCAGCACTAAAACTCCCTAGTATGTGTGATAGTCGTGGTGCGGCCCAAAGCAGGTTCTTGAAAGTCCAAAGAAGAGCGAAACTTGTGAAGGAGAGCAACAAGTTGGCGGCGATGCGGGGGGGCGGGGGGGGGGGGGGTAGGTCTGCGTCAATAGCATTGTCGAAAGCTGATGAACTTGATGGCTCAGACGCATGAGTGATTGCGGCAATGTGACATGGGGTTGTGACATCATACAGTAATATAGAAATGTGACATCATACAGTAATATAAAAAACATGTTGCATTATTTTGTTTTAGCGACAATATTCGTAGTACAAATCAGAGCTTTTTGAGAATGCGCTGATAAGTTGAGAAATCTAGAAATCGGAACGGAAATCGGAACGGATACTTGCGCACAAGTATCCACAGTGAGAATGCGAAACTGAAGTATAGTACGTTAAAATGAATTTCGCAATGTTTTTGTCGATAAAATTACGGGAGGCGTAATCTTTGTCCCTACTTTGAACCATATGATCTAAAGAATTGCCTCCGAGATGCGGCGTGCAGCAATTCATCTGTAGAGCAGACGAAGGATCACTACTTGCCCTAAAGCGTGTTCTTTAGTCTAATGCGGCAGTCTTCGTGCCCCAAATGATAAAAATTTGTTATGAATCGTTTATGAACTCATTCAACTTTCAATTCTCTTACCCAACGTGTTGCAAACACATGGCCCTCACAGCATCTCCATCTGTGTGTCAGTATTGGAGAGGCACCACAAATTAGAAATCTCAGTGCTCTACGTATAAGAGTGAATTCAGATACTGTAGAATACCGTGTTCAAAATAGTTACTCCTATCTGCTAAAACAGCCTTTTTTCACCAAATGCGGTCACGTTTACTCGCGTTTAAAGCCTATTGCCTCTTTTCCATTCCGATTTCTATATTTCTCCACTTATCAGCGCTTTCTCGAAAAGCTCTGATTTGTACCACGAATATTGTCGCTGAAAACAAAATAATGCAATATGTTTTTTTCTATATTACTGTATGATGGCCTTGGGTTGTCTGTTTACGAGATTTTAGGAAAAATTGAAGATGGTTTTTTTTATTATTCAAATTTCAGTGAAGTACACTTTTGCCAATATGAGAATTTTGAGGCAATATATTAATATTTACATTTGCCCTACGACAGCAATAATTTATGTACCTATTGAACACACTATATCCTTAAAACGTGTCAAGTTGCAAAACGCTGCTTGCATTACTTTCGCAGAAAAAAAAAATTGGGAATACGTAACTGATTTTAAAAGGTCGCCAAATTAGACATCTTTAAAAGCTATTTTCTTGAGGTCTACAAACTCGAAACCGTATGAATTCATTTTTCAAGCACACTTGCGTGGTACCCACTAGGGCATTAATATTAAACATTTGGGTAGTAGGCCAGCATTGCTATTTTTTGTCATTCGTCTGAGAAGCATGGTAACCGCTAAAGCCTTGCAAGGAATTTTGTGCCAATTGTCCACGCCGTGGCTGACGACGATGAGGAATTATGGATGAAAGGATATACGCAACAGATAAAAAGGGAACAAGAAAAAGCTTTTGTGATGGTTTGGAGCATTGGACGACCCACTCGTTATGCTATTCACATTGTGCCACGACTGGTTGTTCTTTCGCTGTTATAAAACGCTTTATAAATCGTAATAACGTGATTGCTTTCCCAACATCAAGCCTGCATAAGGCAAATTTCACAACAAGACACAAGCACCGGTGTAGCTCAGTAATAGAATACTGGGCTGGCACCCAGCGGACTCGGGTATGAGCCCATCTTTGCCATTGGTGCTAGGTCATTCCTGCCGAAGGCATGTTTGACAAGTTATAAGCACCAACAGACTCACTGGCTGCATATTGGGCTGGCACGCACTGGACCCTGGTTCAAGCCCCATTGTGTCATTGTTGAAAGATTTTTTTTCTAAGTTAGCGCAATGTGGTTACGGACATCGGTGGCGGCGGTGGTGGTGCGGGCGGCGACGGCGGACAACAACTGCACGTGACCCGAAAAGTGATCTCATAACAGCTTTCGCTGTAAAATAAAGACTGTAAATATTTAAAACCGCTATTCACAAGCTCTTCCAATGCATTAGTCATATATAGTAACGCATTTATGTCCACCCTAAATGCCCTAATCTGCGCAATTGAAAGCTTTGTGACATTTTAAGATGTGTTCCGATGTACGCGTAGCATCTAAGCAGCTCAAGCTTCTGTATAAGAAAAGGACCGTTGCTGGATACAATGCTGGATACTGCCATTGATGTTTTGATATTTGTTGAGTAACTATTTCCATTCAGACGGGAACGTCTTATATGGAGGCATATACGACCCATGTGCATCTGTTTCCTGTCATTTGAGCACCTTAAATAGAAAAAGAAAATTTCCTAGATCTCACTAAAAAGCACAAAGCTGGACCACAGCAGAGTTGCTGGGCATGGTTCAGGTTCTTTTCTTAATCATTTTTACAAAGCTCTTAGCCTGCGATTGAGCGCGTGCTGACTGTTCATCATGATAATTTTCTATCGGCGACATGCGGCGAACTTCTTTTATACCGCCTCTTTTGTTAGAAACTCCAGTAACGCGCATGTGCCTCTGAAATTTTGCCAATCTCATTACTCAGAATCGTGGTCCGCAAATTAAAGAAGGAACACACGGGCACCAAACACCAATTAAGGATTCGGTAGTAACGTAAAAAGAATTGACGGGGACGAAACAATCTGTTGTTAATCGTCTGTACAATCGTCTGTACAGAATGGTTGGGTGGTGGTAAAGAGCATGTTGGTTAAGGAGGATGGCGGTTTTGTATCCACGACAAGCGGTAACACTCGACCATAACAGCTGTACCGCCAGGCCTGTGCGGAACGAACAGCACAGTCTATGCGAAAGCTTGAAGATCGGCGGAGATGCGTAATAACGGCTACAAGCTTGCAAACAATTCTATGCAATTTTTCAATGCTGTAGTGGAGGACGATGAAGAAATAAGCCTGGCGCTTTTGTAAGGAGTTGCAACATTCAGCGATCCACTCGTTACACAATTCCCATTTGATGACACCTGACTGTTTCTTTTCTGTTGTAAAGCGCGTTATTACACTTATTAATGCGATTCCTTTGCCACATGAACAATGCCTAGGGTCAGTTTGCAAAAAATTTCCAAGCACAGGCGTAGCTGCGCTGGTATGCAGGGGACACGGGTTCAAGTCCAATCATGTCTCAGTTATTTTTTACAATTTTTTTTCTTCGCTTTGAGTGATAGTGCTTACAGACACCGGCAGCGGTGACGGTGACGGCGGACAACTGCAGTGCGTACTACTTTGTTGTGATCTCATTACAGCTTTCGTTCTAAAAATACGGCTCATCAATTCCGTGAAGGTCTTCGAATAGAAAAAAACTGTCTGTGGGCGATAATCCCCCTAGTGTCACTCCATGCATTGGCACTTTGTGTACTATAGAGTGGCGGTAAAGCTTATGCCAGGGTTGTATCGGTTTCGCGTGCTCGCATTTCGGAGTCGTCGGCTCTCCGGGCGTGATTGGTCTCCTCTTCGGGAGCTTGCAGCTTGCGTCTCCGGTGCGGCAACTTCTACATACGTGCAAGTCTAACAAGAGTCCATCAAGATCACGTGTGGTAAAAAAGGTAGGCGTGCGCAGGGCCCCCTTTCGGGAAGGGGGAAGGTTCTTCGCAGCTCCCCATCTCTCTATTACGTCAATGTATGGGGCTCTACTTGTGTCATCCCCCCCCCCTAGGTGTCTAGGGTGGACGACAGCCACCCCTGCCCCTCCTTCCTCCTCGTGTGCAAGCGCCTATGGTAAAGAAGGCGCGCGTCTGATATCGCTAGCGTGATCACGAGATATCGAGAATCATCCGTTAGATTTGGAATGCGCGTGCTTCTACCGATCGCGCAAGGAAGATCGCGCCACCTGGCGGATGAGCCAATGACGTTTTAATTGACCTCGCGTGATTTGAATCCGCCGCCATGCTGCAATGCACGCGCTTGCAGCTCATTGGTGAACGCTAAATCACGTGATCTGCGAGTACAGTTATTGACACAAAAGTGCTCGGATTTCTCTGTGACGCCAAACGCTACTGCTCTGCTACATCTGATAAAGCGGGCCTCCCTGTAATGACCTCCAAATTTCGCCCTTACCAAACGTTGCTCTCGCTACATGCCGGAGCTTCTATGACTGTACAGCTTGTGCTTGGAATGGCATCATCACTGGCGCCACTGCTGGAAACTGGGTGTGGAAAGGAGGTTCTCTTTTCAGCCTCATGCATACGCCCTGAAAGCAAACGTAGTTGCTTTGTTATTGGTACAATGATTTGTGCGGACTGTCTAGAAAAACCTCAAATCTCAAAATGTTCTATAGCAGTCATTCGGTAAAGAACAGACAATGAGAACGCGTTCAGGCTGAAAGTCACATCTTTTGATAATTATTAGGCCATCGTAACGGAAGTAATGTGTGCAGAAATTTTGAGTGGTACTAAAGGAGCTCGTGTGATAAAGCATTCTGGGGATCTTATAATATTCGCGTTATTGCCTGTAGTGGCAGTTAGAGCCTTATTTATTTTATTTTTCACTTTTTTGCATCGCAAATATTTCCTATTTAAGCATTGTGGAAGTCTTTCAAATAACTTTGTTAGTATATGTGAGCTCACTATGAAACTCTACGACAGTCATAAAGCCACATGGAATTTGTATATTTTTATGTACTTTCCACGCTGAAATTGAACTTCTGCTATTAATTGCAAGATGAGACATGTTTCCATACTTTATTATTGATGGGAAATATTACAACACTTACCAACATGGAGAGCTTCGCCTTGGTCCTGGCGTTTCGTAGCGTTCCGCTCTGCATAGCCGTTTCCAGCAGGAACCCTATACAGACACAAAATGATTTCACGTAGTGTTATGTGACGATAACAATAGAATGGCATTGCAACTAGGCTAATGAAGAAGGCAGAAAGCTATGTAGGTGGATGATTTTCTTATTGTCACGTGGAAGGGGGAGAAAAGGGAAAGGGCTCGAAGGTTATCCAGTTTCACACCGGCTGCAACGCTGATCTTCTGGGAAAGGTGAATCTATAACTAACCCAATGTGCAGGAGCAACTGAGCCTTATTTGTTCTAAAATATCGCAATATTGTTCGGGGTGTTGCACTGCAAGACAATAAACAAGTCACTTTCGAGGGAACGAATTGACTTTCCAACAATATTAACACTCGATATTGCCCGTAAGGCATGATATGTATCAACATGACCAAAACAGATCTACACCTTTTTGTGAGAGAGAGAAAAGAGAGAGAGAAAATTTAATGCGGAAAGGCAGGGAGGTTAACCAGAAAACATATCCGGTTTGCTACCCTGCACTGGGGAAGGGGTAAGGGGAGAAAAAAAAAACTATTCCAGTCTCAAAAGTGATATTACGCGGCCCTAGCAGTAAAGAGATGACTGGTTTACCCGTCTGCCTATGCAGACTGGATGCTTTCATTGCACTCTATTTCGTACCGAAGAATAGTAACTTGCCGCAATTCCGTTCTTATCAATACTTCAGAATAAAATCTTAGCCCATTCCCACTCCGGGAAAGGTCGGGCAGGTCCCTTTCATTCCTAAAATTACTGAACATGGGACAGGCATATCTTGACTACTTTATCAAGCTAAGAATGATTGTAACAGCATAAAACCTATGTAATCAGATGCAATAGAAGTGCAAAAGTACGCAAAACACGTCATAGTCGAGAGATAGTTCATTGATCACTCATCTCATGCAGTACAACCACGCTACAAGTTCTCATAGAGGTAATTCTTCCGCTACCTATAATAATATGCATGGTCAGAACGATCTTAGGAAAAAAGTTAGTAGTAAACGGCTGGCAACGCATGTAATAACTTATTTCGAGCGTACTTTACAACCTTCCTCGCATCTCTCTAGTAAATGCCAGGAGCTAGTAAATCTTGAAACTTTTGTCGTTACTGACCAGGAATAATTTCTTGGTCTTTATTATATAGCAAGCTAGTAAGCTCCAAACGTTCTCAGATTTCCAGAGACACCACCGTGTAATTTGCAATAATGCTGGCACTCTTTAGAAAAGTTTAGTTCAACCTTTATTTTGTTGATTAGGTTGGAATAAAAACTCTGTGCTAAGTGATGACACACATATATGCAAATAAAAGGGTAGACAGTGATCTGTGAAAAACGTTTATTATTTTTTATTTGTGTGGCTATTATCCAGTAGAGAGTGTGCTATTTTAAAGTAATAGCCTTCAAACGGCTGCTACAGCACAGATACCGGCTAAGTCTTGATAATCTATGTGCGCATTTGCGTCTACGTTCTCATCTGTAATTCGTTCATGCCCCTGTGTATATTGCTGTGATGCGTACTTGACATGGTAAATACATGACATAATCAGTGACTACTAATTTGTTAGCGTGAAGAATGACCCCTCACCTATTAACCTATAGACACTTCTGTAATAAAATTACCTTGATGTGCCAATGCTCGTGCATATATAGGCGTGCGTTAATTAAAAACCGCGTAATGTATCGATTATTCGACTTGGCACTATACCCGAACTAGTTATGAAACTGTAGAAAACTTCCACCTTGAATTGTTCGCGCAAGCACACAGGGACACAGAAAAGAAGACAACGGGTGGAATTTAACAACTGGATTGTTCTTCAAAAACATTCACTTAACGCCTCTCGGTTCTGCGCACTCTGGTCACCAAAAAACATTTGCACTGCGCATATGTCACAACTAACGATCACAAGTTCGTTGAACCATAGATTGGAGCGAAATTTCTTTCGCCAGCAAGGCTACCGAAGGGTGGCTAACAGTTATTTTTTGCTTGCCTATGAAATAGGCTTCCCATATTTCTATCGAAGTACTGTTTCGATTCATATATACCAAAGTAGTGTTGTTAAAGCAAGGAGAGCATGCGCAATCATTGCAGTCAATTTCTATAAGAATGTTGGGGTGACCTTTCAGGCTTGACTTATGTTCTCATTGCCTCGTGTTGATGCACCTGACAGTCTGCCCTGTATATACACACCCACACGTCACAGGTATACAATACACCAGATTGTGTGCACATTGAACAAACCTGAGTTTGTGTTTTATGCTGATTTTTATGTACACGGTTTGTCACATTTATGGTTGACCAACGCGCACACTATTCCTATTTTTTTGGGTCCTACACACCACTTTTACATAGTACTTTCAAGCCACCTATTGTTATTCTTTGTGATATCCTGTGTGCAAAGAGATTGTTACCCCCTTAGATTTAGAACCAGTCAGACCACCCGTTTCCAAAAACGGTCCTGTTCCTTGTTTGAGCTTCTTTAATAGCCTGGCGACCTACAGCCAACATCACAGAGAACGGGTACCCCGCGTCCAGGAGCCTGAAGCCTGTTCATGAAGCGGTGACACACACTGGCTGAGGTCAAGATCGAGTGCCTACATATACCAAGCAGCTTGTGAATGTTTGTGCCGTGCAAGCGGTGGGTTTCTTTTTTTTTTAAGAAACTCGCTAGCAGTCGCTGCCTGCGCCGCAATTGCGAGGCGAGAGAGGGAGAGCGCTGAAAAAACCAGAGGGGGAGTGGATTCGTAATGCGCAAATGCCGCTGCGAAGGATGCCTAGAGAAAAAAGAGGAGTCAGTGAGCGTAGACTAGCAGGCAATGCATGCGTCGGCGCTGATAGGGCTGAGAGAAGCAGAAGAGAGAGGGAGAAAGCCGCGCATGCGTTGTAAAGGTGGTCACGCCACACACAGGGTCGGTCCCGGAGTCTTTGTGTACACTTAGGCACACACGGACGCCGACATTCCAGTACTTGGCTCAACAAAAATGACTTTGACTCAAGACTGACTAAAATTGTTTTTAATTAGGCTCACCCAGCTTCCAACTCATCAATGTTTTACTAACCCGAAATCCCTCACATTCAGATTAGCGACCCTAGCTGAATGAGTGCGAGTCGACTAATTTGTGGGTTTTGTGACCTATGAAGGCATAACATTAGACTTTAAAGGTGTTAGTGGTTGCTTAACGCGCTTCAGACATGGTGATGAAGTCCGAAGGACATCTGATACATACTGTGGATTTGGAGGGTTGCCCAAGGTTTTCTCGTACCATTCATTCAATATGTCGTTCCAAGTCTTGTCGGAACTGCAAATGGTGAACATGCTTTTATGATCAAGTTCTCACTCAAAGTGGTTTCAAATATTTGCTGGAATGTTTCATTTACTGGAGTCCTAAAAAGTAAAAACGTCTTTTTTAAGAACGTGCTACCATTAAACTTTCCGCAATGGAAACTCGCTGCGCCGATTGCTGCTCCCACGTTTAATGCACATATGTAGCTTATAAGTTTGACGGTTAAATGAACGTGGAGAACATCGAACGTGTTATTCGAAGGTCGTAGGGTTGGAGTCTTGCAGTGTCAAGTTACCTCAACGCCAACTTTTCTTTTTTCAAGTTTATATCATTCGCTTCTAAAAACATCCCCTATATTTCTCTTGGTCCCGTCACACGCTCGTTTGCCAGATCAGTGCACTGGTTTTCGGACTCGGAAACTAGGAGCTACATCCCAACATGCCTGAAGATTGACGGCTTTCCAAGTCTCAAGTCCTCCAGAGCCTCTAGTGCTCCAATTGGCAAAAATACAAGTTAATCATGAAAGACTATGTTGGCGACTCACCCTTCAACCTAGAGGACGCAATGAAGAGTGTCCTACAATCCACCACGCGTTCACTTCTGGTGAGCTCAACTCGCAGTGATATGGACATAAAACTCGAGAAACTCCGAGCGATCTGTCGTCGTGCAGAACGACGTCTTAGACGCACTTGATGATCTGAGAGTGGCCAGTCGCACACAAAAGAAAATACAGCGTCACATGGACAAGCTGTATAAGTGACGATGAGTATTTTTTTGCGAGTCTTTGGGTCCCAGCAAGCCTCTGTCACTAATCTGGATAACTGTCCGGGGTCTTCGTACAACCGTTACTCAGCGCTACCCATTTAAATCATTGGTTCTTCACTTACGCTGTAAAGGGTTTTACGTTGCAGAATCTTTCTGTCGAAGGATTGCCTGCGGGGCAAATTCAACAGGGACGATGACGCCGGACTGTTCTGTATCCCCCCCGTGATCCCCGAATGAAGTGTTCGTTTTCAATTGAAGAACTGAAGGCTGCGCTTGCTTTGTGTTGACGTTCTTCAGCAGCAGGACCTGACGGCATCACCTACCGCGCTCTGTGTCACCTAGGAAATCAAGCTCGGAAGGCAGTCTTGCTGCTATACAACGACTCTTGGAAAACTGGCATGGTTCTACAGGAATAGAAGTCAAGTCACCTGATTCCACTTCTCGAAGCCGGCAAGTCAGCTTTGGACATTTCCTCTTACCCCCTGATCGCCCTCGTGAGCTCTGTGGGAAACGTTACGGAAAGAATGATTTCAACGCGTCTGAAATGGCACTTAGAGTTCTATGAAGTATATCTTGATGCCATGTCCGGGTTCGGACGAGGCAGCTTATTGATTGACAATGTAGTTGACTTGGTGACATCTGTAGAGCACCAGAAGGCCTGCAAATGGTTATCTGCTCCTCTGTTTCTTGACGTTTAAAGGGCTTACGACAATTTCATCCATGAAGCCATTTTCAGCGCATTTGAAGGAGTAGCACTCGGTGGCAAGATATATATGTGGGTTCAGAGCTACCTACAGAATAGGCGATTTCGCGTGCAGACAGAGAATGGTCCGACACCCGAGTGTCACTGTAGCAGAGGAATCCCGCAAGGCGGAGTGCAAAGCCCGACATTGTTCAACCTACCACTCATTGTACTAGTTGGCAAGAACCAAGCAGTGTACGACTCAACATTATGCTGATGACATCTGTGTGTGGACATCAGGTGTAACTCGACTTCAGAAGGCAGCAATAAGTGACATCGCCTCACCTACGTAAACAAGGGTTCGAAATCGCAAGTGGAAAGTGTGCAGTCATGGCTTTAGGCAGAAAGCCTATGTCTACTTACGGCATATCAATTAACGGGCGACTGGTGCCATGCAGCGGTAGTCACAGGTTCTTGGGAGTCGAAACCTGTCTAGAACCCCACACGTAAACTACGTGAAAAAGCGGCTGGCTGCCGTTTGTCGCTTGTTCAGGTTCCTTGCCGAGAAAAGTTGGGAGTGTCTGTCGAGTCTGTTACAGCTGTACAAGGTTATATTTATTGGATTTCTGTGGTACAGTCTACCTGTTATATCTAACACTCGCAAAACTAACCTGCGCACACTCCAAATTATTGAAGCCCACGCTCTTAGGATATGCCTTGGTTTACCCCGCTGTGCATCGACGGCTGAAGCCATTGGCATTGCACAGGACTACTCAGTCGTGACGCACATCACCATTGAAACGATGCGTGCGTACCCCAGGCAACATGCTAGGAATCCTTCCCACCACTTGGCAATCCTCACTACTGAGAGGCCCCTCAGGAAATTTAGTGCAATTGTCTGTGCGCTGATCATGCATTGTTTACGTCAAGTTTTACGCCTGCGGAGAGATTGATGTATACTCCGTGGTGTCTGACACTTCTGCAAGTACGCCAGTGAATTCCAGGAATACAGAAAAAAATCTTATTGCCTTCGTCAGCCCATAAACAATTGAGCTTGCACCTCTCGCACGAAATGTACTATAATGTTGTGGAGATATACACCAATGGTTCAACCACAGCGTCTGGTTCAGGCGGTGCGGTGGTGATTCGAGCTAGAGGAATCACTCTGCGAATCAAGCTTTCACACGCCACTACGTCTACGGTGGCAGAACTTGCGGCTTTGCGTGGCGCTCTAGAGTACATCAAATCTCAGAGACCGAGTAAATGGGCTGTGTTTTCAGACTCGAAACCGGCCCTACAGAGCATGCAGTCAGTCCTTCGACGAGGTTGCCATGAACAGTTAACTTACGAAGTTGCCGAGCTTCTTCACCACGTCACAGAAACAGGCCACGAGGGCAATTTTTAGTGGTTACCTGGTCATTGAGGAATCAGTGGCAATGATTCCGTAGACAACGCGGCTCGAACATCCCACCAAGAACAGCACACCCTTCCGATTCCATTATAGAGCACGGACGCTGCAAAGCAACTTCGCCACCTGGCGCGCAGTCTGTGTCTTCTGGAGTGGAACACACCAAGCATAAGACATACGATACTCTAGCAAATAAACCCTCCACTAGAACTTCGACCCCCATCCGGACTTCTTCGACGTGAAGCTTCGCTTGTTTGTCGCCTTTGGTTGGGGGTTGCCTTCACAAAAGCATATACAACCCTCATCGGATTGACCGACAATTCCGATTGTGACGTCTGCAACACCGAAGAAGACATCGACTATCTGCTACGCCGTAGCCCGCGATTTGCCTCTGAAAAACAGAAGCTTTCTGAAGCATTGCGATAATTCTGGCGCATTGCGACAACGTCCTCGTCTTTCGTCGGCTCAAAAAGCAGTCAACGCCTTCTTGTTCGTTTTGAGAACTATAGGCCTATGTGAACATCTTTACCTTTTGGGTGTACCACCACTGCCTACTCGTCCGCCCATTGACTGACAATCATTTTTTGTCTCTTTCTCTTCTTTTTCCTCTCTCTCTCTCTTATCCTTATATTCCCCTTTCTCAGTCCCCCAACGTACGGTGCAAACTGGGCATGTACCTGGTTACGCTCCCTGCCTTCTCTCTTGTTGTTCTTGTCCTATATATTTTTGTTCTTCCACATTATTATTGTGGCGAATGAAAATAAGGATTAGGTTAAACTTCTTCAATGTATTTTGTTCTTTACTTTGAAGTTACTTAAATCTACATGCTAAGAGGTTCATGACACTTATGAAGCACAATTTAAGTAAGCAAAACTGGTTATTCTCAGAATGGCTTCATTTATTATAACACTGCAGATAACGTGAGAAAGAAGAATAGCTTGAAGAGTCACTGATCTGTATGCGATAACTGTCACACATGGGGTTTCTTTCAATCAAGTGCGGAAAAGTTACTGGGCCCCCACACCACGCCCTGCTGCAAAATCGCCCCGTTGCTTGTACTCGGTTGTGCTGTGGCACTGCTGTCAGCTGACGACCTAAGCAACAGTATATCTGCTTCTGACCTCATTTGACTGTACTGAATGCAGAATACAACACCATGCCACAAGAAAACAAACACAATGCGTATACTACATCGTAGGTCCGCTGCGCAAGATTGTTGGCACAGTGCAGGTGAATGCTTACGCGACCATCGGCCAGTTCTGTTTGCCTTAGACGCTTCAGAGCCGAATCCGTATCATCGATGCACCATGTGCTTACTGTACGCGATTAGTTTCAATATTCATTTCTGCAGAATCTTCATAGATTACGATACGTGTTCTGACTAAAATAGAAAACAAAACGGCAGCAATCGCAATTTCTCGTGCATGCGTAAATGTTTAACGGAAAAATACGATGCTCATTGCAACAACCTGGCACTGTGGTGGCAGAGTTCATTAAATAACACAATCTGAACCCACAGCGATGCAATCGGATTTTGATTGTGCGCAAGTGCGTTTCCCACCAGCCTGTGTGGAGCATTCGAAATCGCAGTGCTGGCGAAAGCATCCTCGTGCGCTTGACTCACTATGCATCAGCCTACTGAAGGCCACAGCCTATCTGTATAGGCTTTTGTGAGAAGACTACGTGTAAGGTTCACCATCATTTTACTACCATTCCATAATGATTTCCATATCTAGGGAGTGACGTGCCAAAACTATGATACGATAAAATGGCCTTAAAGAAATTCTACAAAAATTTTCACGATCTGGTTCTCGCGTGCAATTTCATCGAACATTCCACTAACCTCTAGCCTTTTGCGTCCATCAAAATGCGACCAGCATTGCCGCAATCGAACACACGATTTTCTGTAGCACTACAAGCACCATGACCATTGTATCAACGTGGCGGAAGCTGCCATTTATTCGTTTGCACACAAGTAGTCATTATACAAAATAGGATAAAATGCAGTCATTCTGCGCAACGCATCGTAGGCCTGAGAAGACACCTTATGCCAAGAATAGGAACTGTCACATCCCCGCAAATAAATAGAGTCCAAGGCATTCAGTCATTTGCGAGCCGTAATTCGGGCTACACGAATTTAAAAAAAGTTTTCTATAAGAGCTCACC